GGGGGGGGGGGTTGGAGCCTTGCCACAGGTGAAGCTGGTGATAGAAAAAGAGTCAAGTTAGGAACTAAGTGTACGGGCACGTCAAGTGTGGAATTCAGAAACGAGAGGGAGAAGACAAAAGTGCCCACCTCTGGAATTCTCAGCCTTGTGAGGGAGCCTGAAAGTGGACTAAGAGAAAAGGCATGGCAGCGATGTGGTGCTTATTAGTAGAGTCTCTGAAGCCAGTTATTACTGGTTTGACTTTAGACAAGTTAATTATTTTCAGAACCTTAGTTTTACTGTAAAGTGGGATGATAATAGAAGTTATTTCAGGTTGTGAGGATTAAATTAGATAAGCAGTTTTGCAGTATTTTATCATGAAGATTGCTAATAGCAAGAATTCAGTTGGGCCATAGATAATCGGTATAGTTGTTTGTGAGATGGGTTGGGGGAAATGGAAGTGAGAGTGTTCTGTAAGAGTGTTCACTGTTCTGGTGAAGCAGAACTTGAAAGAAAGTGACACGGATAGGTAGAATTACAGTCAGTGGGAACCATGAATTAGCTTGGAGTATGAGATACTGATTAGGCCATCTAGGAGAGGGAGAGGGATGCTGGGGTGATCTGGTAAAGGGCTGTTTGCTGTAACCGCATTCTCAGGAGGGTAGGAGAAGATTAGATTTCTGATTGGGGTAGGATGCTCAGACCCAGGAATTACAAGGGAAGTGGGGGTAGAGGATGTGCAGCATGTGGGAACCAGTGTGTTTGAGGGGCCCTGTGGGAACAGAACCTAGGGCGGAGACCTCCAACTGTTACTTGCTTCTGTCCCTCAGGGGTTCCTTGTGGAGGCTCACCCAGCCAATGCCTGCAGCCCCATTGCCCCACCACCGCCAGCCCCGGTCAATGGGTCAGTCTTTATTGCACTGCTTCGAAGATTCGACTGCAATTTTGACCTCAAGGTTGCTGAATGTGGAGTGGGAGCTGGGAAGCTGAGGGTAAAAAAGTCACCAGGAATGAAGGGAGGCAAGGCCCATGATGGGCTCCTTATCCCCTGCCTTGTCATTAGGTCCTAAATGCTCAGAAAGCTGGGTATGGTGCAGCTGTGGTACACAATGTGAATTCCAATGAACTTCTGAACATGGTGTGGAATAGTGGTAAGGCTGGGATGTCTGGACAACTGGGTTTTCATAGCGCTCAGACTGAGGAATGGTGGGAGGGCTGAGGGCTTAGCAAAAAGAAGCTGATCCTGGTGTAACGCCCTGATCTCTACAGAGGAAATCCAGCAGCAGATCTGGATCCCGTCTGTATTTATTGGGGAGAGGAGCTCCGAGTACCTGCGTGCCCTCTTCGTCTACGAGAAGGGGTAGGATGTGTGCCTCCTTCCCACCCTTCCTTTGGCAGTTCCATGCCAATCGGAGCCCACGCCTCGCTGCCATAACCATTGAGCCTCAGCCCTTCCTACCTTGCCTTTTGATTTTTTTCCTACCCCCTATCCCACCTATGGGTTTTGTCTAGAGCCAGTTATTTTGTCTTTTTTTATCCCTTTATCTTTCCTGCTCCTCTAATACTGGCCTTCCTTTCCACAGGGCTCGAGTGCTGCTGGTCCCAGACAATAGCTTTCCCTTGGGCTACTACCTCATCCCTTTCACAGGGATTGTGGGACTGCTGGTTTTGGCAATGGCAGCAGTGATGGTGAGTAGCTCAGACAGCATGATAGGAAGAGCTAGGGCTTATAAGGCCCGGCTGAATCTGGAGTTGGGAGGTGAGGTGGTTTGTACTAGGTTGTCCAATTCTGTTCCCTAAGCGTGGTCTGTCCACTCCCCAGGTAGTTCGTTGTATCCAGCACCGGAAACGGCTCCAGCGGAATCGACTGACCAAAGAGCAGCTGAAACAGATTCCTACACATGAGTATCAGAAGGGTGAGTAGGGTTGGGGGGAGGAGGGCCTTTATCACAGCTTACTGGGTTCTGAAGACATTTGAGCCCAGGAGATTAAGAGTAAAGAAAGATGGCAGGGAGAGGTGTCAGTGAGCTCTGAGATGCCACCTTTTCTTCTTTTTTTTACCCACAAATACAGTGAGAACAGGGGAGGAGATGAAGAACAGAGCAGGACAGGAAGTAGAAAGCAAAGATGATTAAGTAAAATATTTGGGGGAAAGGATGGAGGGACAGACCCTGCTTATAAGGGAGAATGTGGAGAGAGGAAGAAAACGGGGAGGACTAGTGAGGATTCAGCCCAAGAAGGAACAGGTAAGGAGGGGCTGGGTCTTCAAGCCCTGGAGCCTCTAGTGTCCATATAAGGCTATAGCAGAGGCCCTGCCCCCATTTCCACTCCTCCTCTCCCTATCACTCCACCCTCACCACACCCCCCCCAAAAAAAACCACTTCCCTTCTTACCTCTGCTTTTGTTTGCCTGTTCTCTCTAACCCCCGTTTCTTCTGTGTCTTCCCCAGCTTTACCCTACCCGTCTTAGCTCTTCCATTGGCTCTGTAGAACTAGGGCAACTAATTTTGCAGGACTTAGCTCCACCATAGGCCTCCAGAGTGAGTTCTTGTATGTAGGCTTTGGTTTAGGATGGGTCAGTAAATGATGCCACTCTTCTTTTCCTCCCCCAGGAGACCAGTATGATGTCTGTGCCATCTGTCTGGACGAGTATGAGGATGGGGACAAGCTGAGGGTGCTTCCTTGTTCTCATGGTTAGGCCCTCACCACTGAGTCCATGCCTCCACCCCCCAGCAGGCATCAGGTGCCTCATCTCATTCCTCTCCACAGCCTACCACAGCCGCTGTGTGGACCCCTGGCTCACTCAAACCCGGAAGACCTGCCCCATCTGCAAGCAGCCTGTCCATCGGGGTCCTGGCGAAGAGGATCAGGAGGAAGCAGCTCAGGGGGAAGAGGAGGGTGACGAGGAAGGGGAGCCAAGGGACCACCCTGCCACAGAACGGACCCCACTTTTGGGCTCCAGCCCTACTCTTCCCACCTCCTTTGGCTCCCTAGCCCCAGCCCCTGTTTTTCCTGGGCCCATAGGTGCCCCACTCTCTCCTTCTCCTTCCTCTTCTTCAGCTACCATCCTGGTCTAATATCCCCTCTTCCCCCCACCTCCAGTGCCCTATTTGCACAGCTCCTCTCTTCCATGTGGAGGTAGGGGACATTCCAGCCCCAGGTTTCTCCCTTACCCTACCCCGTCCTGGGGGGGGGGGGCGGCGGGGCGGCAAAGAGACTGGATCTTCACATTTTGAGCTAATAAAATTGTTTTTCTGGACTAAGGGAGATCAGCCTCACACAGGTCAACTTCTTATCCTTTAGGGTAATCACTCCCCCTTTTTTTCCTAATCGTGCTTGGCAGAGGGTGCTGGGAGACTAACCTATAGTCATGGGGACAGCTCCAGTAGACATTCACTGACTCAGAGGGGGAGCCCCACCCACACATGGGGATGACTCAACTGGCCCTGCCTTGGCCCACAGGCCTGGGCTCATTCTCTGGTCTGGATGGCTCTATTCCATCACCCCTCAACCTCAATTCACCTAGCACACTGAAAAGCTAGAACTGGTGGCAGTGCCACTCTGAGAGGCAGGGCCCCCAGGCCAAGTAGGCCTGAGGCAGGTGTTTAGTCTTGGACATGGAAGCAAGAAACTAAATTCTTGAACTTTAGTGCCTCAACCCTCCTGCTCCCAATCACCAGGACAGAGGCAGGTAATGGTGCCTGTCCCCCATCCTGACACCCAGGCTAAAACCACACAGCACTTTGTTAGTGGAATCTTTTTTATTCAGAAAAAAACCCAAAAAACAAAGTTTTCCAACCACACACAGGAGGAGTATGGGTAGGGGGAGGTGTCCGTCCATCAGGCCCCAGCCCCCACCCCATGTGGTTTTGGCAGCAATAAGGGGTGTGGGGTAATGGCCCCAAAAATAAAAATGGTGTATGTGTGTGTATGGGAAGGAGGGGTGCAAAAGCAGTGGGGAGTGGTGGGGGGAAGGGGCAGATGAGGTCAGTAGTGGGCACGCCGCAGGTGGGAGGCCATTTCATAACATTTCTTGTTGATCGAACCACCATGGACACCTTCTTTGCCCATCACCAAGACTAGCGCTAGAGGAAAGAGAAAGGGGGCTAGGAACCAGGTGTCACAATTCCACCCCCTGCCAGCTGTTCAGCAGCTGTCCAGCCCTGGGGGCTGTAACCCAACCTCATCCCTCCCAACCCCCACCCCACACAGGCAGACTGTCAGTCACCCTGAAACAATAGCGCTTTTCAAAAGGGGAAAATCAGGCTTAAAAGGCTGGAGAGGAACAGACTAAAATTTAGGGGTCAAAGGCTGGTGGACTGTTGACTCGTGTTCAGGCCAGAAAAGGCCATGGATGAGCCTGCCACCTCAAGTTTTAACAAAGGAGCCCAAAAAATGACAGCTTAAATGCTGACTTATGACTCCAACAGTCTACCTCCTCTGTGAAAACGGAGTTTCTAACCAGAAAAAACTCAGAGCAGAAAGTAACTTAGGAGGTAATGCAGTTCAACTTCTTTACATTACAAGATGAGGAACCGAGACAAAACATCCTAGCATCCAGGAGCACTGGTCTGCTTCCCTCCACACTGGGAACCACATAGAAAACAAAACCAAAACCGAAGGAGATATGTTAGGGATCTCAGAGGTAGAGCAGGGATAAAGGTCAGAAACTCACTCCTGTCGGTCATGGTGACAGAGACGTTGTAGGTGGGGGCTCCGCCAGTGCTCTTGGTGCGAAGATCCATGTTATTTTCCCCTTCCTGCAGCAGTGAGTCCCGGATCACGGAACATTTCTGGCCCCCAAGTGTCAGCCCATTCACGAAAATACCTGACCGGTCTTTGCTAAGGAGAACTGCAACCTCTGCTGCCTGAAAGGGAAACCAAGGACCTATCAAGGGAGTCAGTGCACCAAGGTTCCCACCCTGTTCTCCAAGGACCCATCTTCCTTCCACTTCTCCGGGAGCCAGAACCCCCACGGAGGAGAGATATTCGCTTTGTGTAAACCCATGAAATTTGAGAAACTCTTAAGACTGGGAAGTAAATGCACAAAAGATCATAATCCTCAAACCTAGAGAATGGTAATAGGGAAAAAGGGGTGCCATATCCCTCTGGAGACTTAGATCTCGGTTTTTAGTAAGGGAGGCAAACCCAGGAATTAAACGGGGCCAAAAGTCAGGGAGAAGAGTGAGATGGAATAGAGTGGGGAACCTTTGAATGCTCAAAACTCTCCTTCAGGAAAAGCAGAAGCAGAGAGGGGAAGGGAGGGGGCGGGTGAGGCAGGAGAAGCAACTTTTCCCTTATTTGGTCAAAGGTTCTGCAGGAGTTGTTAGGGACCCGGACGCCTGGGTCTCCAAGTAACCTACAGTTTAGGTCCAAGTGTCTATGCCCCAAGATGAGGAAGCAGACCCCTGGAAGCTCTCTGGGAAACTTCGAAAACTTCTGAAGCGCACCCAGGGCTAAACCTGGCCAGTCAGCTCCCCCTTCTAGCTACCCCGGGGAACCTTTCTCCCCCTTACACCCCAAACCCCCCACATCCGGTCCCCTCCCGCCCGGAAATCCCCTTCCCCCCTTTCGAACTTCCGCTCCCCCTCCCCACTTCCGGACAGTGTGGACAGGGGAGGTGTTGATGGGGACAGCAATAGACATCCCCTATTCCCCAACTTGTACTAATCAGAACTTCTCACGAAGTTCCCCGCTCTAGGCCCCGCTGGGTGGCGGGAAGAGAGGGCGAGGGGACTTCCGGGATTGACTTCACAGGAATGTTGGGTCCTACGTGCCGAGTTAGGGGGGCGTGTGGCGGCCTCGCCCTCTCTAACGGAGCCGGGAAGGGCAGGGACCCCATGGAGGGCGGGCATGGGACCCAAACCACGCGTCTGGAGCTCCCTCCCGCACAGGGGGGAACAATGGTGGAGGGGGCGCGTGCTGGAAGCCGGAAGTGGTACAGGGGGTTCAGGGGTCCCTTAGCCCCTTCTCAATCATAATTCCTGCTTAAAACTGCAGCGCGTGCCCGCCCCGCCCAGGAGGAGGCGGAAGTGGGCCGCCGCACCGGGAGGCGCGCCCCTCCCCGCCCTGTGCCCCGGATGTAACGCCCCGTCGCGGAAAGCCGGGAGGCCGGCGGGATGGGCGCCGCCGCTTGGGGCGTAGGACTCACGGCGGGCAACGCTGGGACCCGTCCACGTGTAGCAGCCAGCCATTCGTGCCCCTTCCAGGGCAAGGACCAGGTCACGGCCTTTCACTGCCCTCCTCAGACCGCGCCCGCCCCCACCAAAGTCCCTCCCTCAGGGTCCAAGCCCGGCCAGTCCCCCGGACCGCGCAGGCTTCGCAGTACCGTGATGTTGGCCAAGGTTTTCCCGGGGACGGCGGCCCAGACGCAGGGCGAGTCCTTATAGCCCACGATGGCCGCGTCCTGACAGGTCCCGTCCGCCATGAGGCTGTCGACGTAGGCGTTCCACCCGGCCATAGTGCTGCTACTGGGGCTGCTTTCGGTGCTGCTGCTGGGGCCGCGGGCTGAGCTCGGGCTGCCTCGGACTGGCGGGCAGGGGGGGAGGCGGAGAGCTTGGGGCACGCGCTGCCGTCCCGACCGTGGCTCTGCTAGCTGTGCGGCAGCGCTCGCACCGCCACTTCCTGCTCCACCTCCCCCCCCCCCGCAACTAGATTTTTATTTGCAATGGGCGGTAGGGGCGGGGCCTGCTCCCATTCCCTCCCTCCCCCTGCGCCTGCCCAGATACCGAACTTTGCAAATGTAATTTTAAAAATCCCTCCCCCTATTGCAAAATTTGCAGAGTTCGATGGAAAGCTATGTAAAAAAGATGGGGGGAGGGGGGGCGCGAGGTTAGGGTTAGGGCTTCGCTTCGCATTGAATATAAACCAGATTTTGGTATGGGGGAAGGGAGTGAGCCAGAGAAAGAATTAGCAAGCTGCAAATTTAGCAAATGAAAGAGGGTTTGGGGAACCCAGGGTTAAACGGAACGATTCTCCCTTCCCCCCACCTCCGCCGGAGGGAAGGGACGGCGGGCGGCGGCGCGTGCGTCTGCGCCTGCGCCTGGGCCGGAGGGAAGGCGCGTGGGACGGTTAGGACCGGCGGCCGGCTTCCCGGGCGCGCGCCCAGGCGCGATTTGCCGGACCGATCTGGACCCTCCTGCGAAGGAAGGCGGGCCGGGGACGTGTCTCCCGCCTGGCGGAAGGGGCGGGGGCGAGGGTGCGCGCGCTGTCGTCTCTGCGCTCTTGATTTTGTTTAAGAAATGAGGGAGCGAAGGGGAGTTTGACAAAATACCCCGGCCGTTTTCAGAGCTGAAGGCACCCACTGGGGACACCCAAATTGGGCTCACTCGAGCCCTTTCTCATTCCAGGGGATTATCCTTTTGCGAGAGCAGCTCCAGCCTAGGGTCTCACCTCACGTCCTAGCCCCGCTCGTGGGTCATCGGCCTTGCACCTTGGCCCGTCTCTACAGAGGCCACTGAACGCTGACGCCCGCAGGGCGAGACGGACGGGACTATTTAAGGCGGAAGAATACTAAGAAGTACTGAGATTGGAAACTTTCAAGAACGGGAAAGTCCCTTTTACTTTGGACACGTTTGTTTGGGGGTTTTAAGATTTTTTCCTTCTTCAGTAAAACTTATGCTGTGAAATTGTGCGCGGTTAGGTCGCTCGCCGCCAACTGGGAAGGGGGTGGGGGCCTGGCCCTTGTGCCTGCTTAGGTGAACCATTCCCTCCCCTCCTGCCCCCGTGGCTGCTGAGAGGCTTGGTTGCTTCCGGTCCCTCGGGAGCGGGACGCCGGGGTCACGCAGCGCCTCCCGGGCGGGAAGGGACTTCGTTTCTACTTCATCCTCGGAAGCTGGGACTGGCTCCCTTGCGTCCACCCGAATCCCAAGGCACCCACCGCCTCCCGAGCCCGTGTTCCTCGACAGCCGCCGTGGCTGAGTCACTGGCTGGCTCGGGTGGAGCCGCCCTCGGGCACGTGGCGGTGCTCCCCGCCAGCCATCTCCTGACCTCTGGCCTGCCGCACCCCTCACCCCAGGGTGGAAAAATCCCGGGAGAGAGCAGCCAGAGATAAAGGAGGAGGGGCAAGATGGGAGATTTGGGGGACAGGGATCCTGGAGTGGGGGCTAGGAGCGCAGACACTGCGGGGCTGGGGGGGGGCGGGCAGCAGCAGAGCTAGAGGGAGGGCGCCGGCCGCTTCGGCTCTGGCGCCGGCGAGAGAGACCTGCGAGCCGGGAGCCCAGTGACTCGCCCGCCCGAGGCTCGGCGTCCCTCCCTGTCCCGGCTGGGGCTGCAGGCAGAACTCAGAGCGACCCCAATCCACCCAGACCCGCCAAGGCGGAAAGCGTGGCCGAAGTGCAGAGACCCGCTTCCCTAGAACACTACGGGCGGATCGCCCGACTAGCCGCAGGCTCTCCGACGCTCACAGAGGGCCACCTTTTCCTCCTGTCCATTCACTTTTTTCACTCCTGACTCCACATCATCCTTTGATGGGATCCATCATCCCTGAAGCGCCTGCAGTCGGTGGGGAAACGGACTCCTGACCGACAGCCCCCACGATGGGCGTTAAGTGCTGTCCTAGCGCTATCAGCCGGGCACGGCGCCAGCTCTGAGGGCCCGTCTAAATTCGTCTCCCTGCCTCCTCCTCGCCCCTTTGCTGCCTGGCACTGGGTCGGGTGGGGTGGAGCCAAGAGTGGCCGTTATGAAGAGAACCCTAAAAGGTGAGACCCTCTCACATCTTGGGTGAGAGTTCACTTTTAGACTTAGAGCTTGCCCAGAACCCCACCCCCTTGCTCCACTTGAGGGCCAAGGCGGGCCCCGCGCCGCCAAGTGATCCCGCCAAGTGAGCTGAGCATGTGTGGATGTCAATCCTGTAGCCCCTCTTCGAGGCCCGCTCCCCAGCCCTGCAGGCTCGGGTTACACCTGGCCTTTCCTAAAGGGCACTAGTTCTTTAACCTTTGCAAAAGGGGAGTATATTCCTGAGGAGAGGGAGACCCCCCCCCAATCTGAAGCCCCTTCCCTGCACCTCCCAAGAGGTAGAATTAAAAAAATGACTTTTATTGGGGGGCAGAGAAAATGGGGGGCATCGCTGACCTTTGGGAAGGGGGCAGGTCCCAGGGCCAATGGCTTCATACTTCAGGCTGCAGTGGGCACTTGGCTGCCAGCCTGGTGTGGCGAGGGGAGGGGGGGTGTTGGAGAGAGAGAGGCGGGGCTGGCGGGGACTGGGGTGGTTTGGGGATAAATGCCCAGCCTGAGAGGGGGTGAACTGACACTGTCCCAGCTGCCACCTCGACTCGGAGCTCACCCCAAGCACCCAGTGAAGACATCCCAGGTCTGATGAATTTTCCAGCCCCAGGGGATGGGGGTGATACAGGGTGAAGGTGGTGCTAGCTTGGAGAAAGTGTGGGACATTTCTGCTGTTTTTCCACCTGGGAATGGGGAAGCTTGAGAAAAACTAGAGGGGCTAGAGCCAGCAGGATGGGACAAGCTCTCCGGCTTTCACAGACACAGGGAAAAGAGGCTGGGAGGAGAGGCAGGTGGGGTGGGAGGGAGGGTAGTTAGAGCTGGAGCCAGGTGGGGAATTTGGGGTCCATGAAGATTTGGGGAAGATTGGAGAGCAGAAAAAGGACAACCTGAATAGCTGGAGAAGATTTGAGGGCTAGGAGGCCATAGAGAATAGATTGCTTGACCGGAAGGGTGGAAGGAGAAGGCATAAGTATAAGTCTGGGAGAAACGGAGGTTTGGGGTCTGATAGAATCCAAGGAGTTATAAAGGAGAGGACCCCTAGTAAGGTCGGAGAAGGGATTCAGAAAGATTCTGACCTCCTAATTAGGTCTCACGCTATCTTAGGGTAGGGGTGGAATAGGAGAGGCTCTGAGTGGGGGAGGGGGGCTATGCCTGCCTCTTTGGTCTGTGACCTTTTTGTGGGATATTTTTAGCTCCAGCACCTGCCTTCTTAGGGTAGGGAAAACTCTAAAAGGGCAAGGGATTTCTGGTTTCTTAAGGGATCAACAACTGTCCATGCTCACTCCCACTTCTTATCCAGCAGCCATGGCCATGCAGAAAATCTTTGCCCGGGAAATCCTGGACTCCAGGGGCAACCCCACAGTAGAGGTGGACCTGCACACGGCCAAGGGTAACACAGGCCCACTGGATCAGTTTGCCTTGGGAGACCCCAGCCCTCTCTGGGCTTTGTCCCACAGCTCTGTGCTGCATCCTCTCCTTTCTCTGGGATACCCTACACCAGATTCCTCCCCAGGCTCCTCTCTTCCAACTGGTTCCTAAGTTAGGAGAAGCTGAAGTCTCTCTATGCTCTGGCTCAGACAGGAGACCTCAGTCCTTTAGGGTATGGGTGGGACTCTTTGTGATCTTCCAGTTCTTCCAGCCCCAGGCTGATTAAGGAGCCCTGGTGGTGCAGTGGTTAAGAGCTCAGCTGCTAACCAAAAGGTTGTTGGTTTGAACCCATCAGCTGTTCTGTAAGAGAAAGATGTGCCAGTCTGCTTCCATAAAAAATTACAGCCTTGGAAACCCTATGGGGCAGTTCTACTCTGTCCTATAGGGTCGCTATGAGTCAGAATTGACTCAACAGCAACAGGTTTGGTTTTTCTGGTCCAGGCCGATTCCGAGCAGCTGTGCCCAGTGGAGCATCCACAGGGATCTATGAAGCTCTGGAACTAAGAGATGGAGACAAATCACGGTACCTGGGGAAAGGTGAGGCAAGGCCAACACAGGATGGGTAGAGGATGGGAACTGAAGCTCTTGAGGAGTTTAGTTGCACAGGAAGAGCCCTTCTGAACCCCCTCCCTGGGTTCTCTAGGGGTCCTGAAGGCTGTGGAACACATCAACAAGACTCTAGGCCCTGCTCTGCTGGAAAAGGCAAGTGGAAGGGCCTGCTCCCCCTGCCCTCCTCCCTGCGCCCCTGCCATGCTCACCCATCCCCTCTCCCCCAAACACATTCACTCCTCCTTCCTCCTGGACATGCCCTGACTCCTGAGAAATCTGACCGCTGCTCTCCCACCTCAAATCTGCTCTTCCAGAAACTAAGTGTTGTGGATCAAGACAAAGTTGACAAATTTATGATAGAGCTGGATGGGACCGAGAATAAGTGTGAGTGAAGGGGGAGGGATGAAGGAAGGAACGGGTGCAGGTGTGGGGAGGGAGAAACCCCAGGGGCAGAGGCCTGGTTTGGGTTATTTTTGCATCCCACGTTTAGGGGCACATGGGAGCTGGATGGATTTGTATTCATTCCACAGGCATTTCCTGATGCCTGCCGTTTGCCAGCCCTGGGCTAGACTGTGGATGCAGACGTGAAGCTGACACATTCCCCTGGGGTGGGGTCTCCCAGTTCTCCTTGGGTGCATGGGGAGAGATCAGTTGGCAAGCTCTGAGTATCCAGTGGTTTGAGGCTCTAGATTCTTCCCGGGGTGACCAGAGAGGGTGTTTGAAGAGATGACCCCAAACCCTGGAAGAGAAGCTCTCATCCTTTCTTCCCACTTGCCTCCTTCCAGCCAAGTTTGGGGCCAATGCCATCCTGGGTGTGTCCCTGGCTGTGTGCAAGGCGGGAGCAGCCGAGAAGGGGGTTCCGCTCTACCGCCACATCGCAGACCTCGCCGGGAACCAAGACCTCATTCTCCCAGTGCCTGTGAGTGCAGCTGCCCTGCCAGATCCCAGCAACAGAGCTGGCCCCACCCAGCTCAGGGTGCATAAGCCAAAACCAAAACCAAACTCACTGCCATCGAGTCTATTCTGACTCATAGTGACCCTATAGGATAGAGTAGAACTGCCCCATAGGGTTTCCAAGGCTGTAATCTTTATGGAAGCTGACTCACATTTTTCTCCCGTGAAGCAGCTGGTGGGTTTGAACCACTGACCTTTTGGTTAGTAGCCAAACTCTTTAACTACTGCTCCACCAGGGCTCCTTCTGGTGCATAAGCAGCCCCTGGAAAATCCATCTTCCAGAACCAGCTCCAAAGAAGCTGTTTCCTGAAATCGAACCTCTCAAGCTGCGGTTCAGCCCCTCCCCTCTCTCCCACAATCCAAACCTTCGTTTAAGATTCCCTGTACTTCCTTCCCTTGCAATGCAACCCAGTTCCTTTGCATTCCAATCCTAGGCAGTAACTCCAGCCTCTAACTCTGCCCCGCACCCACCCCCCAAATCAGATTGAGAGCTTCTTCATGGCAAGGATTTTGGCATTTCTTGGTATCTTTTTTAAACCTTACTGAGCCACATTTCCTCTTTATGGATTTGAATTTAATCTCAAGGATAATGTTACCATTTATTGTGTTACTTACTAGGCAGATTGTATAAGAGCATGGACTCTGGGGACAAGCTGCTGGGTTCGAATCCTGGCTCTTCGTATTCACTAGTTGTGTGATCTTGGGCAAGTTGTTTAACCTCTATATACCTCAGTTTCCTCATTTGTAAAATGGAGGATAATAATTAAACATAAAACCGAACCAAACCCGTTGCCGTCAAGTCGATCCCTACTCATAGCTACCCTATAGGGCAGGGTAGAACTACCCCCTAGGGTTTCCAAGGAGCAGCTGGTGGATTTGAACTGCCTACCTTTTGGTTAACAGAAGAGCTTTTAACCACTATGCCACCAGGGCTCCGGGGACAATAATAGTCCTAGTTAACAGGGTTATTTTGAGAATGAAATGAGCTAATACGATATGGTATATGTAAAGCACTTAAGAGCGGTGCCTGGCATATTTAAAAAACAAAAATAAAACAAAACAAAACCATTGGCATTGAGAGGATTCCAACTCATGGTGACCCCGTGTGCTTCAGTGTAGAACTGAGCTTCACAGGGTTTTCAATGGCTGTAAGCTTATGGAAATAGATTACCGGGGCTTTCTTCCACAGCACTTCTAGGTAGATTCGAACTGCTAACCTTTCAGTTAGCAGCCAAGCACAAGCTGTTTGTACCACTCAAGGATGTTACCTGGCACATAGTACACGTTATACAAGTTAGTTATTACCGTTAAGATCATCATCGCTAGTATATACCCGGTACGTGCTATGAACTTTATGTTTGGTTTCTTTAATTTTCAACAAAAGATCTTGTAGGGAAGTAGGTGTTATTCCCACTTTATAGAAATGAAGGAAGAGGCTCTGAGTAGTAAAATTACTCATCCTAGGCCCCTCAGCTATACGAAGGGAAGCCAGGATTCCACCTCAACCCCCGCAGCCCGTCTTGATCCCTCACGCTGCCCCAGCCCAGGTCTGAACACCCTCTCCCCCTCCCAGGCCTTCAATGTGATCAATGGGGGCTCCCATGCTGGAAACAAGCTAGCCATGCAGGAGTTCATGATTCTGCCCGTGGGAGCCAGCTCCTTCAAGGAAGCCATGCGCATTGGTGCAGAGGTCTACCACCACCTCAAGGGGGTCATCAAGGCCAAGTATGGGAAGGATGCCACCAATGTAGGTGACGAGGGTGGCTTTGCACCCAACATCCTGGAGAACCATGAGGGTCAGTGCTCACTGCGGGGGTGAAACCGCTGGGTTTCCACAGAGAGGAGGGCTGTAGAGATGGGGCCACTGGAGCCTCAGGTCCTCTCTTGCTCCTCTCCCAGCCCTGGAGCTCCTGAAGACAGCCATCCAGGAAGCTGGATACCCAGACAAGGTGGTGATCGGCATGGATGTGGCAGCTTCGGAGTTCTATCGCAATGGAAAGTACGATCTTGACTTCAAGTCGCCCGATGACCCCGCACGGCACATTACCGGGGAGAAGTTGGGGGAGCTGTACAAGAACTTCATCAAGAACTATCCTGGTGAGAACCCCCATTGCTCCTTCCCGAGTCCCCAGCAACTGCCTAACACTGACTTCACTCCCTCCATTGCCATCTACTCAGGTCCTTCTAATCCTTTGCCCCATCACAGTCTCTACCCAAAGCCTTCTGATCTGTCACCCCTCCATGAGGCCCCTTCTGACTTCTAATCCCCGACTCTGCTCCCCACCCCCGCCAGTGGTCTCCATTGAGGACCCCTTTGACCAGGACGACTGGGCCACCTGGACCTCATTCCTCAAAGAGATCAACATCCAGATCGTGGGTGATGACCTTACAGTCACCAACCCCAAGAGGATTGCCCAGGCCGTTGAGAAGAAGGCCTGCAACTGCCTGTTGCTGAAGGTCAACCAGATTGGCTCGGTGACTGAGTCCATTCAAGCGTGAGTCTCTCCTGGCCTTGGGGTTCACCATAGCCTCCCTTTGTCCCAACCACTTCAGCTACAATCTTGCCTACTAACTCCAAGTCCACCTTTTACCCAGGACCTGACCCACCCACACCCACCTGACCTCAAGGCTTTGACTAGCCCTTGACCTGACTCTATTGTGACTCTGCCATGCCCCATACCCCCACCCCATGCCATTCCTCTCCCCCAGATTCTGCCATTCTTCCCTCCAGCATCTCAGGAGCCCAAATTCAAGATCAGGAATCTCCCCTTCCCTCTTACTTTCCAAAGAACCCAGAGTCACTGCCCTCCTCTCAAAGTGCCCACTGCCCTATTGGGCGGCACTACCCAAAACTGAAGGGGAAAGCCCTACCAGCCCCTGGCCTTCCCCGAGGTCTCATCATGCCTTATCAAGTCCCCTCTCCACCCAGCTGCAAACTGGCTCAGTCTAACGGTTGGGGAGTGATGGTGAGCCACCGCTCCGGGGAGACTGAGGACACGTTCATCGCTGACCTCGTGGTGGGCCTTTGCACGGGACAGGTACTCATGACTCCCCTCTGCTGAATGTCTGGTTTTCCTGGGGACCTTGGTCTTGAGTTGAAACCACCACAGACTGCTCCCTTGAAGCCAGGCCCAGCCCCTGCTCTCCAGCCTCACCTCACTCTCTGAATTCCTCTTTACTCCTCAGATCAAGACTGGTGCCCCCTGCCGCTCAGAACGTCTGGCCAAGTACAACCAGCTCATGAGGTACTGTGGGTCCAGTGGGCCTGGGGAGCTGAGGGCTGTTGGGCTGGGAGGCAGCACCTCTGACTTTGTCTGCTTTCTAGGATTGAGGAGGCTCTTGGGAATAAGGCTGTCTTTGCTGGACACAAGTTCCGTAACCCGAAGGCCAAGTGAGAAGCTAGACCCCAGGCCCCCGCTGGACAGACGCAGGCCTTGGGGCATTTCCCCCTGAAATAAACACTGCTGCCAACCAAGACAGTGCTCCTCCTTTGTGGGAGGGAGGAGATGTTGGTGTCTGGGCTGGTAAGATGAGAGGTGGAGAGGTGGGGACAGGAAGGGGAGGCAGAGAACAGACGTGTAACTTCCTGGAACGAGGAAGAGGGGGACTCAGTCAGAGAGGAAGTTGGGCTGGATCTAGAATGACAAGGATGTTCAAATTTTGAGAGGAGGTTAGCAGTTTCCTGCTTCCCCTAACTCCTCTCAAAATTTGATGCTGAAGAGGCATTGAGGGAACAAGAAGCCAGCTCCAGAAGAAGGGGAGCAGGGGTGGGGGAGGGTCTGGACATCACGAGGGGTGGGGACTGAGGGTCTGGATGCGGTGGGAGAAGCGGGATCAGATCTGCCCAGTTTGAAGTAAATGGTCTACAGAGTACTGCGTGGAATACAGGCTGTAGTGAGTGCTTCGTGAGGATGAGAGGAATAATAATGAGAGCAGCTACCACGTCTCCGTAGCTTCTAAGGAACTGGAATGGTTCTAAATGCTTGACATATGTGACCTGTGTAATCTCTAAAACAAGCCCATCAGATGGGTACTATTATTATCCTCATTTTACGGGTGAAGAAACAGAGGCAAAAAAAAAGGTTAAAAACTTACTCATGGTAACAGAGCCAGTAAGTAGCAGAACCAGTAAGTAGCAGAACCAGCAAGTAGCAGAACGAGCAAGTAGCAGAACCAGCACCCATCTGGCTCTAGGGACTGCGCTCTTAAAATACTAAATTTTATAAAACCAATATCTGGTCATCTCTGACCTACAAAAACAGCAATTTTATGCTGTTCGACCTAAAATGATTCCCCTTCCTCTCTGTCAGTGGCTCCAGGACCCACCTTTCTCTGCACAAATAAACCAGGACATTGGGTCAAACAGTGTTTATTGAATGTGAAGTAACCCCATGGGGAAGAAAATTCCAAAGAGAATGGAGAATAATACAGATTAAATACCCACCTGTGCATTCACGCTCTTACACACACACACACACACACACACACACACACACACACGCCCATGTATACACATACCACGTACATACCCAGGCCCCAGCAGTGACACATCAAACACCTGCTCCCTCAGCCTGAGTGAGAGCTGGAGGGAGGTGGTTCAGAGGTTGGGGCTCCAGGATGGGTTCTATTAGCAGCAGCCTTGTCCCTCCCTGCCCTGCCCCGGGACCAAAGGGAGCTGAGGTGCCTAGGAGGTAGGTGGCAACTCTTCCCCACTCTGCCGTAGACGCTTCTTGGCTCGGATCTCATTCATGGCCTCTTCAATGGAGCGTGTGTCCCTCTTGTTGGCCACGGGCACTGGGGGCAGAGGAGAGGAAGCTGGGGAGGGCTTAGGGGCCCTGTGCCTTGGCCTCCGCTCCCCTCTCCCCACATCCTGTGCTCTTCTCCCAGCCCTCCCAGCCCCTACTGTGGCCTCACCACAGCCATAGGTCTTGTTGGCCTGTAGCATGTGGGCTGCGTCCTTGGCGGCCCCTTTGCCGATGAGATGGCTGTACTTGTCCTTGTAGTCACTGGCAGGGCTCACCACCACAGGTCCCTGCCGAGCTGCCTCCTCCTCCTGCTGCTGGGCCAGCTCCTAGGGGTGCAGATGTAGGGCACCAAGGCTCAGGGGCCTGAGCCCCAGCCCCCGACAGGTGGTAGGCTGCAAGTCTCAAAGGATGGCCAGCATAGCTCACCTTCAGCTTCCGTTTCTCCTCCGCCTTCTGGGGGTCCCACTCCTCTCCACGACGGTAGGATTCCAGCTCTTCATCTGAGGGTGCAAACTCCTGAGGGAGAACGGGATAATGGGGCAAGTTTCCATATAAATGTTTTCTCTCATTCCCCTCCCCCAAGGGGATACAAGCTGAAATGGGGAGAGGGGAGAGTAAGGACCTCTGGCCTCTCACCTTTTTGAAGATCATGACATAACGACACTCATCATCTTCCCCAAAGGAAAAGGATGTCAAGCCAGCCACTTCTACCACATCGTGTCTGGAAAGGGAGGGCAGAGAGGATAGAAGCCATTGAGCCATAAGGGTTCTAGTGTCCTCCTCTCAAGGATTCCCCAGCTGGCCCTTTCAAGCCACCCTGGCCACACATGTCCTGCCTCCCCAGGCCCAGAGACACTCACAGTATGCTCCTCTCTATCTTGTTCATTGGCTGAAACTTTTTCTTGATCTGCCCACTGTCTTGGATGAAATCTGACACCTCCTTCTCCATCTCGGGAGAGGAAAAAGGAAAGAAGATATAAGATGATGGCTCCACCCAACACCCCTCTCCCCCGACTGGGCCAACAGGCCTTCTCAACCTCCCCGCTCCTTTCCTAGCCTCCATGCCACTGGCTTTCAGGCTTCACCTCTCTAGAGACATTTTCAAGAAAACTGAGCCCTCAACCTTTCAATTCTAACTTTAAGGAAGTCCTTCCTGAAGGCTGCCTTTGATCTCTCCAATTGTTCTCACCCTTTTACGAAACTCCACTTTCTGTTGTTTCTCTTGCTCCTGTAGTTTCTTCAGGCGGGCAGCCTGCTCTGGGGGTGAGAAATGGCAGCATGAGGCCAGGGGTGGAAGCACGAGTGGGGAGAGTTTGTAAGGCTTCAAAGGAAGTCTGGTGTCCACTGCGAGGTGTCAGGCTGGGACAGTAGGACTGTTTACTCACCAAGCATTTATTGCTGTGTACTATATGTGCCTGGCACTGTGTTAGGCCCTGGATACAAAGATGATTGAGACGAAGCCTTGCTCTTCAGAAGTTCATGGTTCAGTGGGAGTGACAAAGATTAGAATCCCATTGCCCAGCCCCACTGGGGAAACCAATTAAGATTTATTTAATGCCCACAACATACACAGAGCTATAGGAACATAAAACTTGGGGAGGTGAGGGAAATAGACTAAGCCTTGGCCTCAAAGAGTTTATCATCTCATTGTCTACCTAGCAAGGGGGAAATTATTTAACTTCCTTACATTTTGTAACACTCCCCACTTCCTACTTCTACTAGGCAGGATAAAGCTGAAACAGCTAGTCTGACATCCTTCTCCCTTGGGACAGTAGGTGTCCAATGTAGCTGCAAAAGAACACCCCATCTTGGGTCTTAGCTAACCTCCTCTTCCTCACATCCTGCCTCTGCACCAGACCCCCTCTGCCTCTTGGAACAGGTGCTGTGTGGAGGAGTATCGGCTGTAGTATACTCCTGGGCCTGCACCTGGGCGCTTCACACCTACCTGTCTTCCCCCCAATGGGATCTTATTGCCTCTGGAGCTTTCAGCATATGCCCCTTCCCACTCCAGCTCCTCAGCCTGAAATGCCCCTCTCCTCCCTTCTGCCTTTTCAAACCGTTTAAGTCCTTAATGCCCATTTCTTCCACAGGATCTGAATCCCTCCAGCTGCAATGAACCTCTTGCCATTTTCCTAACCACTCCATGCCTTTGCACATGTTGTTCCTTCTGTGTGGAACGCTTCTCCTCCTTTTGCGAACTGTGAGATCTGCCGCGAGTCAGTTACTCACTTCTTCCTCCAGGTTCCAAGAGCATTAGTTTCAGACATCCACTATAGCATGTGCTGAGAACTAACATAATGCAACTTTTTGGATGGTTGTCTCCCCTACCAGACTATGAGCTTCTTAAAGGCAGGGATCCCGTCCTGGTCCTGGGGCATGACCATCTAGAATTGCCAGCCGAAGGAGTTCTCAGCCCTCTGACCTTCAGAGCACTTTTCAGCACAACACACTTCCACTACTGACTGTTTCTCTAACTGGTTTGTGAGTCCTCTCTTTCTACCTGGAGAGGTGGCATGAGATTATGGTTAAGAGCCTAGGCTCAAAAGTTACACCTGGGTTTGAAACCCTGCCACTTACTAACCGTCTCACCTCAGGCAAGTGACTAAACTCTGAACTTCGGCTTTCTAGGCTGTCAAGCGGGGCTAGTGATCCCCCCTTTGACAGTCGCGATGAGCATTAAATAATTCCAATGCCCCGATCCCATTATGCCCCCTCCTTCCTCAGAGCCCTATGCCTGTTAACACTTTGCTCCTCCCTCACTCACTGAGTTACCTATTCTTCAGATCCCGGCTCACGGGACCACTGCGGGCTAGGTTAGGACTCCCAGGTAGACGCTCTCACAACAATTATTTCTCGTTCACAGCATTTATCAAGTTGGTTATTAAATATCTGTGTGATCGTTTCATCAATGCGCGTCTCAGCCTCCGGCTGTGGGCTCCTTGAGGATACTCCTGGCCCCTAGCGTACAGCAGGAGTTCAGTAAATAATCGATATTTGTATATTAAGCAGCCCTTAAGCACTTTGAGGGGCCCTAGTGGTACAGGGGTTAAGAGCGTGCCCGCTAACCAAAAGGTGGGCAGTTTGAATCCACCAGCCGCTGCTTGGAAACCCCATGGGGCAGTTCTACTCTGTCCTATAGGGTCGCTATGAGTCGGAATCGACTCAATGACAACGGGTTTGGTTTTTTTGGTAGGCACTTTGAAGGCATCCTGCCTGCCCTGGCTCGCCTCGGGCAAGCGGGGAGCCGGTGCCGGGACGGTGGTCGTCCTCGGTTAAAGCCTGCGGTGTTGGGAGCAGGGGTCCTCCCCAAAGCAGTTATTCCACCAGCCTCATTCATTCGGCGTAGCTCGAGCAACCCCAGTGCTGCCCGGACCGCCCGCCAGGCCGCGCCCAACACTGCCAACTCCAGGGGCCGCCTGCAGGGAAGTTCCGCGGGGAACACAGGTGGGGCCTACGGCCAATCGGACGGGCCGGGGCATTCCCATCCCTCCAATCAACATCGGGACCCACCAGGGCAGCTCGGGAATTTAAGGCTACAGATGGGAGGAGGGGCATAAGGGCACCAAAATCACCCAGCAACCAATTGGAGGTGCTGAGGGCGGATGGGTCAGACGAAAGGTCGAACAAGAATTAATAGGTAGGCCTTCAGGTTGAGATAACCAATAAACGTGAAAGGATTGTGAATGGGCATGCCCTGAATCCAATCAGAGTAAAGACGGGGAGCGGAGACACGCGGGCCAGGAGACGGGCGGAGCCGAGGTGCGGTCGAATACGCCCCTCCAATCCGAGGAGATAATGAAGAATACGAAAGAGATGGGTGGGGTCGGAGGCATCCAAGCAATCAGAGCACGACAACAGCGGACAGGCAGGTCCACTGACTAATTGAAAACAAGGACTGCGGAAGACCAGGGTAGGGGAAAGCAGCAGGAAGGCGGAGCTAGATTTCAGGTAGCCAATCCTCGCCGGCTAAAAAGAGCGGGCGGGTCTGCAGCCCTTTTAGGGACTCTGGGGGGCTCGGAAGGGGCCTGTGAGGGGTCTTTCAAGGTTGAGGAGGTGGCATCGTCCAAAGAGGGAAGAGTGCGGTCCTCAAAACCGGACGAAGAAAGGCGGCTGTGAATTTGGGATCCTCACCTCGGGCCTTGCGCCGAGTCTCCTGGTCACCGAGGCTGGGAGGCTTCTCCATGGAGCTCAGAATGGAGCCCAGTAGGTCCGCCATCTTGGGAGAGACTGAGAGGAGGCGGTGCGTCTTAAAGGGAAGGGCGAAATGCCTTTAAGGCCGGAAACACGTCGGCGGCGAAAAACCGTGCGTCCGCCCCGCACCGTCGGGCGCTGCTCCGAGAGCCGGCCCCGCCCCTCGCCTTCTGGCCGGCGCAGACCCCGCCCCCCGCAGACAGAGGCCGGAGGCTGGCTGGTGCTGCGATGTTTAATGGCAGTTCGTGTAAACCAAGCCCATGCACACGTAGAAAGTGCTCGTGGAGCCGGCAGGAGGCCCCCGCCGCGCCAGGGAACCACAAGCCCGGCCTTGCAGCCCTCCCCGCGGCGCCTTAAATAGATTCTTCACTATACTCTGTATGGTACATTATGTACACGCCCCCTCCCCTCCCGGGACGGGGCGGGACTCCGCGGCGCGTTGCTATATACATCCCCTCCCTTTTGGCCCCGAGGTTGGTGGCCAGAGTCGGGGTGATGGGGTTAGACGGGCAGAAAGGGAGGGAAACAGACGCAAACATGCGGAGCCAGGTGGGGGCATGGTCAGCCCTGAAACACGAGGGGCGCCCGCAGCGAAGGCAGAGGTGGGGACCGAGGCGGATACATTCAGAGACGTGTCGAACGAATAAATAAGGCAAGTCAGGAGGGGGCTGAGTTCGGTGCAGGCAAGGAGGGAGCCGTGGAGAAGGGCAGGCAGGGCTCCGTAAATCACAGCTGAAGATGCAGGTATGTGGGGCGCGGGTCTTCTGGAGCCAGGGGCCAGAAGAGCGGGTGAGACCAAGGTGTGAGGAGCAGGGGGTCGGGAGACGGAGTTAGAACTTCGGAGAGGGGAGGAGGGTGGAGACCTGTGAAGGCCTCCAACAAAGGTGAAGGGGGCAAAGCTGCCGACTGGGGGCTCCCCCTCCCCCAGAAAGCCCTCTCCCCGTTAAGACTGCCGGAAGCGCCCCAGGATGGTGAGGGAGGCGGTGGAGAGGTCAGGTGGCCAGTCCAGGTTGGGGAAGCCCTTCCAGCTCCTGGTTCTGTTTCAATTCCCTCATCCTGCAGAGAGACAGGGAAGGAGTCACAGGAGACCAGGGCATCGGGGGAGGTGGGACGGTGGCGGTGCGTGAGCAAAATGTCAGCAGGAGAAGGGTGAGTACCTGTGTCGGCAGCGCCGCAGGAATCTCATGATCTTCCGGGCTGCCTGGTCCTGCTTCTTGGTGAGAAAAGAGCCTCTGGTGGAAGAAAGAAAAGATGAGGGAGACCTCACAGAAACCCCAGGCACCCCTGCCCTCGGCCCCTTAGGAGCCCTAGCAGGGAAGAGCAGGATGATGAGCAGTGGGGCATTGTAGCTCCCTGGAAAGTGGACATGGCTCAGTGGGTGGGCACAGAGGGCTACGGGCTGGGGGTTGAGGCCGTACTTGCTACGAGCAGGCAGGGTGCCCGTGGGCCGGTGGGGAGGCCCGGGCCGGCGGCGGTAAGAGCGGTAGTGCTGCTGGATGAGCACGGCCGCTCGGCGGCTCTGCTGAAATCGCTTTTGTTCATAGTAGCTTCGGAACTTGCTCTGGATCAGGATGGCTGCCTGGGTCATCTTCTTATAGAGTGCAAACTGCAGGGTGGGGAAGAGAGACAGGTTGAAATGCAGGTACAGAGACCCAAACCCCTGCGGGTCACCCCCAAGTTCAGATAATGCCAGTCTGGTTCTCTAACCCACACGCTCATGGGAAGACTGAATCGCCACAGACACAACCTCACTCCCAGCTCTCATGCCTAATACCTTAAGTGCAATCCAGGTCAGCTTGTGGAGAGAGAAGGGGAGTTAAAGCTCCGGCAGCATCCTGGATGCTCTGGGCTGGGGTGTGGGCCTGTTTTCAAGAGAGAAGGGGCTCACCTGCTTGTACTTGCGGTAACAGCGCTGGATCACAGCTGCTGCCATCTCCTGCTGCTCCTTCAGCCGCCGACCCTAGGGAGAAAACAAGTCCCACCACCTAATGACCCACCTCTCCCTCTAATGGACATCTGCTGACCTGTGCCTCCAACTGGCCAGGGGTCCCCGGACCCTTCAGCCCACCTAAGACTTGCTCTCTCTCTCCAAGAGTCCTGGGAGCCCATAGTGTCCCCTGACTCAAGATTGTAATTCATCCCCTGAGGATCCCTGACCTTATACTTCCGGAAGGCCGTCTGGATGACTCGGGCTGCCTCATACAGTTCCCGCTGCTCATGATCCGACAGTGTCAGCAGGGCAAAATCGCTCTCCATCTTGCCACTGGCAGATGCGGAGAGGAACTCTGCCCAGGAAGGTGCTGGAGGAATAGCCAGACGACCCCGCTCAAAGGGCAATTCACTGTAGGGGAGGGGGAGAAGGGATGTCATAGAGCATCTGCAGTCCCTCTTCTCCCACCTAGAGATGAAGGGAGACTTCCAGCAACAGAGTCTGAGAAGTGGCTTCAGAGTTCAGAAGCCAGTTCCAGCTCCCTTCTCGGAGGTCCTGGGGCATCAGCCAGAATGGAGCTTGGGCTGTGGGAACTCCCGCCTTCATCCCTCCCTTCCATCTTCCTTTGAGGAGGAGTCCTGAGGCTTTGTCCCAAGCTGGTCACCTGGGAGGGGCTGAGCTGGGGAAATGGTCCACGTTCTCCAGGTAGCTGGCCAGCCAGGACATGGTCTCACTGAGCCCTGCGGCCCCTGTCCGCTCCCGCAGTGGGGCTCCAGCCTCTGGAAGCCCCACGAAGTCTTCCTGCTTAATCCGCTCTGGTGTGGCTTCGATGATCTGCTTGGCCAGTGAGATCATGTCCACCTGAATGAAGGGAGAAGCTGGTTGAGCCTTGAGGGGCCCCAACAACCAGAAGTTTCTGTCCTGCCAAAGCTGTAACCTCAGTCTACTCTCTGTCTCGTCGTCCTCTCAGATGCCGAGGCCTCAGGGACTGCTCTCCCTGCTAACCCCATCTTTCTTGGCCACTGTTCCAGACTCATTTGTTTGTACTTATTGGGCTCCCACTTGAGGGTACAGCCCTCTGTGTTGATAAGTTGTGGGGGATGTAGGGTAGGAAGGACATACTCCAAATGGGGACTCAGGAGCTAAGCAGATGAAGGACTTCATTGCCCTTCCATGCTGATCACCCACTGTCCACTCAGGTCTGCCCCATGCCAGCCAGCCAGCACAGGCCATGCCCACAGCACATTCTTTCCACAGGCCTGGCCACGAAGGCCCCTTGCCCCTTCCATTCTCCAAGAACCAGCCCAAGGCTTGCCAACCACATGGCACCTCACTGAATGGCTCCAGCCCCAAACTCTGCAGCACTTCCTGCTGACCACACTCCTCCTTGTGATGTTCTCTAATTTTTTTAAACTTATTTTGCTACCCCATTAATCCATTAGTCTCTCTAACCAAATATGTCTTCAGGTTCTAGCATAGAAGTATGCTCTGGTGCACCTGAAGCTTCACTCTCTCACTTATTTATTCATTCCACAAGACTTTCTTAGCTTTTACCCTGTGCAAGCCTCCCCTCACCCCAGATCACTGCCAAATACCTCCATCTTGCCAACCTCTCCCCTCCACCTCCCAGCTGCCCTCCATCACCCTGGTTCCCCAAGAACCTGGTCCCTTCATGGATCAACAGGTGACTGATTAGACACCCCTACAACCCAGCTGTAACTGAAGATATGCCCCAGAATTTTTAGCCTCTGATACCTCATGACTTCTGAGTCACAAGGCCTGAAAGGAGCTAAGCAAAGGGTTACCCTGCTTGTCTCAAAATGAGAGGGAATGGCCCCTTCCCAAACTGAAGCCAGAGTGGTTCTGCCTTATGGATCATCTGCCTCAGCCTACCCCTGTACCCCACTCCATGTCTAGCCCTCTTAATTCCATCACCATAAGCAGTACCGGGATCACATCCACCGTAGGCAGGCTATCAGCTTCCTCTGGAGCAGCCCCATCCTCTGGGGCTGATGGGAAAGGCTGAGGTGAGGGTTGGGGCCCTTTGAGGTTGGTGGCCTCATAGTCCATGAGGAGTAGGGGTGCCTCTGGGGTACCAGAGGACAGCTGGCCTGGGACCATCTCCTCCATAGTGATCTCAGAGGCTGGCAGAGGAACAGGGGGAGGACTGCTGTCTGGAGCACTAGAATAGGCCGATGTGACAGAGAAGGTGCCATCTGACAGCTCTGAGGGCGAGGAGACGCTGCTGAGACCTGTGAGGGTGAGGGAAGAGACAGGGCAGCAGGAGTCACCTGCCACCTTTCAAGTCTCCTCAATCTCCCTGTCTGTTCTTGCTACTATTATTTCTCACCCCCGCCTCCTCCTCACCCACTCTGTCTCCTACCCTTTGGCTTTGCCTTGGCCTATCGTCCCACCCACATCGCTCTCCAAAAGTTTACAGCCAGCCCTCACCAGTGTCTGGGCTGGAGGAGGGTGGTGACGGGGCAAGTGGAGGCTCAATGGAAGCCTCCTGTCTCTGCAGTTCCTCAAGGCAGCGGGCAAGGCGCACGTGACCCCGGGAATGCGCCACAGAGAGGGGCAGACGGCCCAGAGAGTCAGGAATGCTCAGCGCCTGTCGGTTCCAACGGAAGAGGAGCACAGCAGCTTCTAGATGTCCCAGGGCACAAGCCCACATCTGAGGAGAGGGCAGGAGATGGAGGACGGGAGGAGGGGAGTGGGGGTAGAGGTGAAGGTGAGGCCAGGCCCTTCCTCCAGGTGGCCAGGGCTTCGGTCCCAGCCCTCCCACTCTTCCCTAGCATCCTTCACAAGCCTGTCCTCAACTGCACCATTGCCGTTGCCACAAGCCCATATGTACTCAGGAGTCCAGCATTCTCACCAGAGGGGTGCAAGAGAAATGATCCACGTTGAGCGGGTCAACCTCTTGCTCTAAGTCCAAACTTCCGGTCTCCACACTCCTGGAGGGTTTGGGAGAGGGACAGCAGAGCCCAGTCAGGGAGAAAAGTGGGCAGTGGGAACATCCAGAAGGAAAGGGACTGGGAAGCAAGCTGTCTAGAAGCACTAAGGTCAGTGGGATGAGGCAGTCAAGAGATTCATAAATTTAAGGAAATTAA